AAGCCCTAGGTTCCACATGTGGACAAAGCCCTAGGTTCCACATCCCTAGCAGCACGAAGTGAAGAAAAGGGAATAAAGAGCACCACACTATACAACACCCTGCAGAACACAGAACTGGAGGCAACACTTCCAAAGTATCATAGTGAATCAGCATTACTCTGCTATCAACACTAGACAAAACCAAAAGGAGCTGCAGACCAGTACTTCATGAACACAGCTGCCCAGTGCTCCAACAAAATATGAGCAAACCAAATCCAGAAGTATGTAATAATCATAACTAGCAATATTTTTTTAATAACTACAATATTCAAGAAATCAAGGCTGGTCCAACATGTGAAAATCAATGTACCTCACTGCAACAAGCTAAACAAACACATGTAACACTATCGTTTGTATGAGTGACCCCAGAGGCTATGTGCTGAAGGCTTGGTCTTCAACCAGTGGCGTGGCTGGAAGGAGGAGGGACCTGGTGGGGCACTGAATCAGGAGGTAAGGCCCAGCTCCTTCCTCTTTTCTCCCCAGCCATGAGATGAGGTGGATGTTCCCTTAACCTGTGCTGCCTTGCCCCAGGCTCAGAGCAACAGGACAACTGATCAGGTACCAAAGCCGAAATCAGAAGCCAAAATCAACCTCTCATCTCTGTGAGCTGGTCATCTCAGGGACTACTATCATGAAAACCACTAACATCCAAGACGGTACTGACAGTGAGGCAACTGCTGTGACCATGACATCAAGGACCCTTGGAACAGGTTTGTGGGGCAATTTGGAAAAGCCTGAGGAGCAAGCAAGAACATCCATAATGTCATAAGCAGAGCTGAACAGGAGATTCTGCCACTCGGGATGAAAACTCAGCAAATGAGGAAAGAAAGTAAGTTTCTCCATTTAACAAGACCCACAATGTGGCCAGACAGCAAGGGCCTGATCAGTCCTCTGAGGACAGAAAGAAACCATCACACCTGTTCCCCAGCTATAAGCACTCAGGTGAGAAAGGAAACGCAGACCTAAGGACAGGAAGGGGAGGTCAATCACCACTCCCTGGCAGACACCATGACCACACAGGGAGGAAATCCAAGTAGAGACAGAAATGGGATTGTAACCAGCATGGCACATTGGAACTTCAAAGTCAGGCTTTTTCCTTTAGCGACAAGTGGCTGCTCCACATGTCCTCAGGCCCAAGGCATGAACCACCACCTCTCCTCCCCTCACTCAGATGAAAGGGCGGGATGTGCAGATGCTGCTCAAGGAGGTCAAGTCCAGCTCCATTCCCAGGCGAGGGAGGAGGTGTCCAGGTCCCGGAAGAGACAAACTGAGCTTGGATGTATCTGCTGTCTCCTGAACTCCCACTCCACATGCCTTGCTGTAAAACACCCCTCTAGCCTACACACAGAGATGGGGACTTGAGGCATCAAGCCAGCTCTGAATAAACCCCTCTTCCTTTTTACCAAAATAAATGGCCTCCTCTGACTTGGTCAGTAGCATGTGAACAAGCTAGAGTGTGTGAACCTCAGCAGCTGTGAACAGGAGGACACATACGCCCCTGAAACCAGGAGCTCAGAAAGGCTGTGTGGCACCAGATCACGGCGAGGAGCAACCACAGGCCACAGGCTGGAGGTGAACACCTGGAGGCCACAATTCGGAAAACACACACTTCCTACAACTCGGAACAAAGGAAATGCTCAGATCTAAAACACAGAACTGCATGCTGAGAACTCCTAAATGCAAATAAAGCCAACATCTAAACAACTGGAGAGATGCTATCCATTTCCCCAAGCTGATTTGAAGACTCAGTGCTACTCCTGTGAAACCCAGGAAGTTAACTTTAAATTTTACATGAAAGGCAAAGAAGCAGACTGGTCACGGTGTGACCAAAGTGGCTTGAGCTCTAGCTGCCAGACACCAAGACTCAGCACGCCCTGCATGGCTAGGGCCGTGTGGTGCCCACAGGAGATAAGCAACAGGACACAGATGAACTGGACTTCACCCAAAGTTAGGAATCTTTACTTACAACCTGGTGCTGGCAAGGAGGCAGGGCAATTGCTTAGAAAGCTAGGCACGCTGTTCCTCTGTGACCCAGGATGCACCGGGAGGGAAGGCAGACTTCCACAGACTGCACAGGAATACCCACTGCAGCTCCATGCTCAGCTGTAACCTTTCCATGCTGACTGAGGAAGCACACTGCTTCATGCATTCGAACCAGCTGTGGACACAGGAGGTATCACACTAGGAGACAACTCCATGCTGGGAGGCCAGGGCTATGCCCCTCGGGGGAGGCAGCTGGAGTCTGGTAGAACTATCTAGTGTCCTGGCTTCAATGGTGGGGGCATAGAAATCTACATCTTTTAACTGACAGCATATAAAAAAGGAGATAGAGTAGAATTTTCCTATGTAACTTTTAAGAGTTTTTTCAAAAGGGCAGATCTAAGAGATAATACCAACCTCAAACCAAAACCTAATTTGGACTCCAATTTGGATAAATTAATTACAAGTATGTAAGTATAGATAGTATTTACATATATTCACAAACTTATACATAGTTATGTATACATATCTACTATACTTATTTGGAGATGGATTTTACTTATTTATTTTTGCAGTACTGGGGATTGAATTCAGGACCCTGTGCT